TCATCAGATGAATGTGAAATTTGTCTGCAAAAGTCAACCAGCTTGCATGCCACTTTTGCCCTATAAGGAAGTTTCACATGAACTTTGGATAAACATGGAAGTTGTAGGTCTTGATCTTATCTTTCCAAAATGTACTAGAAGTCATTTATCTGATTTGTAGAACTCAAGTTATGAGATTTACAAGTCAGGGGTATTTCTGGAAAGTTTGATTACAGGTCATAAAATTACAGGCCAAGTTCACCACTTTGCATAACTCAAATGAACTTTTTTCCAACATGAAAGTTGCTCCAAATGAGGTCATTTGGTCAACTAAACCTCAAGGTTTCAATGGGCTAGCTCATAGTTGAAGATTGGTGAAAGGAATTTTGGTAAAAGCATGGGAAAAACCTAGTTTGTGATCTTGCCAAAATTAAATCAAATATGGTCATATTTGTGCTCATTTTGAAGGGAAAATATGTTTTCAGAACATTGGTTACAAAATCAATTGCATTTGAGGCATGGTTCATGGACTATTTCAAGTTTTCTTCATGTTTAAGCAACACTTTGGATTATGACCATTAAGATCCAAACAAGGAGGGATTTTGAGCCCTTGATCTTCCTTACACCACAAGGAATGAGATTGAATCAGAAACAAGGGATTTTGGCCATGAATTGAAGCATTTCCATGGGCTTCCAACTTCCAAATTTTGAAAATCCAATTTGATGATTCTCTCACAATTGGGCCCCCAACTCATTACAAACATATTCTATATAATCCATGGAGTGAGTTCATAATTTTTTTTGGATGATTTTGGTGTAGAAACAGAGATATAGCATATTGAAAAAGAGGGTGAAAAAGTGATTTTCGAGTTCTTCCTTTCTCTCCAATTCAAGGCCTCTCAACTATCCAAACACCTTCATTAATCATCTTGGAGTGATTTTGCACCATTTTCTTGAAGGATTGGTGGTTGTTTTAAGCTCTCCATCTCAAATTTCAGAGGTAATGGAAATTCAACATATCTCGTTATTTATGGATCTTTATGGAGCCATTGTTGTACCATTACATTCCCCTTGATTGGAATTACGTTTCTGGTATCATTTGGGGCATTTCTATGAAGATTTAGTGTTCTTGGTATTTTCTTGGAGTGGCACGGGTTTGGAGTTCTAGAGGTTAATAGTTCAATTCATTACCATGGTTGTGTTCTACGTGAAAAATGGTACAAGTTTGATTCAGGAATCATCAAGTTTCATGCATTTTTGAGAGAGATACGGTTTATAGAGGTTACTGTCGTGTTCTCGGCCGCCACCGTCGACGGCGCTGCATTTCCCTCCTCTCTCAATTTCAAAACGAAGAAGAAAGACCACAGCCGTTGGATCACATTGGAAGATTGACTTCGTACGCACATCCAAAGCACACGAACGCGCCATGCAACCCCTTCCTAAAACGCTGCGCATAACTTAAAATCCTGAGTGGGCTTATCTCTTCCTTGCTATCCACGCCCCCCACACGGGCCCAGTCCAAAAAACACACCGAATCTCATTGCTATTTGACACACGGTTCTTTTTATTTTGCAATTGTTTTCTTCATTTTTCATTCTTTCTTGCTGTTTACTTTTAACACATGAAAAATAGAAATAATGCTCATTAAATCTTGAGTTTTTTACCTGATATTCTTTGACATCTTAGGAAATTTTAGAAATTGAAAAATCATTTTTAGGATTAATTTTCATTTTATTAGGATTTTTTCTATTTTAATATCCATTAAAAATGTGATAATTGTGACACTTGTTGATTTTCATTGAAGTATCAAAACCAAATATTTTTGCCTAATATTTTGTGGAATTCTTGTAGACATCTTGAGGGTTCCAAATATATTTTTCTATGGATTTTATACCACCATTTGTATAGGTTTTGAACACCATTTTTGTACATGCTCTATATAGCCTTGGTTTGAGATATCTTTGGAAGTTTACCCTCTGTTTAGGCACTTCCTTTTGGATTCTTCCTCTATCCTTTTAACCTCTGATTCCTAACACTTTTCAGGTCCTTGGAGATTTTATTTGGCATTTTTGGATGCATTTTACTATTTTTGCCTTATTTTGCAAGTTGACCCATAATTTGGCACTTTCAATTGGACACTTGTATTGTTTTGGCTCCAAAAGCCTTGTATTGCTTGTGTGATGGATATTGTAGTGATTGCTTCTTATTGTGGACATATTATAGGTCTTGTGGACCATTTGGTGGCTGTTTATATTTTACATAGCTTGCCCATTTGATGCTTTACTTCCATGCTTGTACATTGTGATTCCATATGGTGGTTTATGTACTCTCATTGTAGGTTTCTCTTGATTTCTTACCATTGTATCCTTGATATTCATTTGTGGCATATATTGTATGATTAGAATATGCTACCCTCTGTCCCATGACCTTGATGTGCCATTTAAGGAAGTTTTGGGTCCCTCCTTTGGAGGTCTCTAAGGCATGCCTAAAGTGGTGATTCCTTGAGGACTTCCTTTGTATTGCTTTTTTGTGAATTGCTTTTGTTGCATTTATTCTCCTCTTCTCTTTGCATTTATTCATACTTTGGCTTGAGGTTGAGATGATCTTGTGGAGGCTCTGCCCCACACTATTTTCCTCCCTCACTTGCATTGCATCTTTGCTTTCAATACTTGCATTTCATGTATGTTTTCTTACCATTGTTTTCTTCTTCTTCTTTTGTCTTCCTTCCCTTAGGATTTCCATTCTTTCTTGTTCAAGATAGAATGTGATAGACATTAGGCCTTTAACCATGCATGACAACAATAAGTAGTTCCCTCCTAACATCAACCATAGGATGAACTTTGCATGACAACTTTAGGATTGGATTAGTTCCTCTTTAGTGCGTCCTTTCTCTTCTCATCTTCAAACATTCTTTAAAACACTCAATAAAGGATAACACGTGTTGTGCGTTACGAGCCTTAAGCACTTGAGAAAGGGTTGTTGGAGAGTTTCTTTTCAACAACTTGGGTGTTTAGTATGGTACCCTTTGGGTGACATGCGACGCATTCACTCTTAAGTCCAAGTCTTTAGTGCGACACGAGTTACAAACAAAACTCAAAACACTTCTTCTGTAAAAGGCACAAAAACAAACATCCAAATTCTTTTTGGCCTCTTGGACCTTTAATACTTAGAAACCATTTTCATAAGGAGAGTTTCGTTAACTCTCGGTTCTCCCGCAAACGGTAACGCCTAAGTCTCCAAAGGTCGAGCTGCATACACCAAACTGCGAGAACCGTTTGTTAACCCTACTCGGGTTAAAACATAATGAACCAAACCTGTGGTCTTGTTAGCCCGAACTACGTTTGCTCTGATATTTCATACCAGATGAAAGTACGTAGGCACGAGATGCGATATCTCAGCGAGCAACTTTCCCCCCTTTTTTACCCGTAGTTAGGCGAACTACGTTGACTCTGATTTCTCGTTCCAGACGGGAATACGTAGGCATAGAACTGCCGTGTTCTGCCGAGTCACTTTTCTTTTCTTTTGTCCTTAAGCCTTTAGCTAGATAGTATTAATCAACCCTCCGAGATAAACAATTAAGCGTGGATCCCGTCGAGTACGACGGACGTGAGGGGTGCTAATACCTTCCCCTTGCATAACCGACTCCCGAATCCAGGACTTGGTTGCGATGACCAGTCCTTTCCTTTTTCGTTAGGTTTTCTCTGAGCGTTTCCTTTCCCTCCTTTGGGATAAATAACGCACGGTGGCTACTCTTCTGTCATTGTCGGCCTAGTTTTTCGCAGTAGCGACAACAACGACTAACAAAACTTGTGCGATTTGAATCATTCACAACTTGTGATTCAAGTCATAGTATTGCATGATTCAAATCAAGTGTAAACCGTGATTCGAGTCATAGACACCATAGGTTTCCTGTTCTCTTTTGTTTGATTTGATTTGAGTCATAACTTGTGAGTGATTCGAGTCACACGCAAGAAATCTCAAATTTCCAAGTTTTTCAAAATAGTATGAGATTTCACTTTCCGCATAACTTGAACAAACATCAAATATGATTCTTGTTCCAATAACCCAATCAATTAACTTAAAGCACAATGATCATACTCAAATGCAAATACTTTGAATGCTAAAACAAATGAATTCAAAACTTAATCCAAAAATGTACAATTGAAGAGAAAACTCAATAAACAAAACGAAAGTTTAAAAAACAAACAAAAAAAGAGTATTAAAGTTCTTCCTCTAAACATATCAGAGACATGCGCCTTCATTTAAACCTTTAAGAGACACAAAATATAGTATAATATTCGAGTTATAGCAATAAAACTTTTATTTTTTTAAAAAAATATCCCAACAATAAAATCAAATATTCATTTTATTCCGTTATGCTTCATGCTATTAACTACGTCTTAAATTATAAGACGTTTTAGACATTTCATACAAATTAAGAAACCTAATTATTAATTTATGAAAAAGACAAATTATGTATGACTTTACACTAATGTCACTCATAATTACACATGAGAGATAAATTAAAAGAGTTGAAATAATAAATACTTGAGCCTATATTTAAAAAAATTTCACTAAAATTGCATCGAAAATGTAAATTAACTTATAATTTAAATAACTTGGGAGAGAAAGAGTAATCTCTTAGAATATTTAAATATAACTGATGTAAGGTTAAAAGTACCAGCCACGTGTCATTCATCTATTGGTAGTTCCATCACAGCATTGTAAACATTAAACTATATTTTCGTCATCATTCTCAATTTCTCATTATTACAATGTATAATTTATTTATTTATTTATTTATTAAATTTCTTCGTCAAACTCGTACGTACGGATATTCCGGTGAATCGAAACCTCGTTGGTTTCTGTCGCACACCTGACACCACCTTCGGATCTCACATCACACCACACAAACGCATTCATCCCTTCCTTTCATTTCAATTTTCTCTGCCAAATCGTTTCCTTCTTATTGAAATCCCAATTTTTCATTCTACTTTGTCCTCTGATTCCCAATTGATGCCATGAAGAAGAAGCTCGATACCCGTTTTCCTGCTGTAAGTTGTTTTTTTTCTGCTTTTTAGCTTTAAAGTTTGTATCTTTTCATATTTCCCCTGTGTTTTTGCATCTGGGTCATTTTTTATTTGTTATTTCGATTCAGCCTTTGGTTATTTAGGTTTGATGATGATTGGGGGTTTCTGGGTTGTTGGGGGTGTGAATTAGGTTTAATAGCATGGTGGGTGTTAATGGAATTTAGTATAATTTATAGAATTTATTTGTTTGTGGTTGATAATATTTTAGGTTAGGTTAAGACTTATGTGTGTGTGATGTGATGGTTTTAAACTACGGTCGCAATTGCGGTTGCAGGCATTGGGATTGCGTTCATTGCGGTTGTGGTTGCAGGCGTTGAATTTTTATTTGACGATTTTTCATTATATCAGAAGTAAATTGAGTTTTGGGGTTCTGAGATTTTGAGTTTTGATGAAAGTACTTGAAAAAACATGGACGAAATTGTCTGATGCTGTTCATAATATGGTGACGCGTGATTTTAAATCACACTGCAATTGCAGTCTGATGCGATTGCCGAGACTACTGCACCAACAAATATTGTGGCCGCGTTGCAGGCACTTAGTGGAGGCTGCATTGCAAATGCGATTAGTTGATCGGATATATATTATGAAATGACATGTTGCATTACAAATTGAAAAGGGAGTGGAGGGAAATTATAGCTTAACTTACAAATCGAAAGGTTTGTGTCTTACCATGTGAACATTCGAGTGTTATTCACTGATCAGTTTTTCTCTTTTTAAAATTGCTCATGTTTGATACACATGCAAACTCTTCAGTTTTGTTATAGCATAGCCGAATTTAAACATACCGCTATTGATAGCACTTGGGAATATAATTTAGGCCCTTTTCGAATAGTCTATTTATGCAAAGAGATCTATTAAGAGAATGCTTTATCTGATGGAAACGTTAAATTGCAGGCTCGGATAAAGAAGATAATGCAAGCAGACGAGGACGTTGGAAAGATAGCACTGGCAGTCCCCGTTTTAGTTTGTGAGTTGCTTTTACTTACTTCGCAGTTAACCTTTAGCCATTTGCCGCGTCTTTGTTAACCCTGCTCGTAATTTTTTTTACAGCAAAAGCTCTGGAATTATTTCTGCAAGATCTTTGTGACCGCACTTATGAAATAACTCTACAGAGAGGAGCAAAGACCATGAATGCATTGCATTTGTAAGTCGTATAATATTCTAAATTATAAATTTCTATATTTTTCTTTACGAAACCTTCTTGTGTGAATTGCGTCCATGCATAAACCGATTTTACTTCTGCTGAAGTTTGATTTAACGATCAAGATTTGAAGTTCCGACGTTCCTAATTGTCATTACTAGATTTAACCTATAAGTATTCTAACTAGTGGTGAACACGAATTTCAGGAAACATTGTGTACAAAGCTACAATGTCTTCGACTTTTTGAGAGATATCGTCAGCAGGGTTCCTGACTATGGGCACGGCCATGGCCATCCTGAGACTGGAGCCGAGGACCGCACTCTTCCCAAGAGAAGGTTTGAAGTCCAATAGAGTCTATCTTTTTCTTTATCTTGTCTAATTTATCTATGCATATAAACAATTAACAACGTAAAGATTGCTTTGTTTTTCCAGGAAACCTGCTGGCGACGATTGCAATGACAGCGATGAAGAGACTAAGCGGAGTAAAATGGTAACTTTTACGAAAAACCATGACTATGTTCAACTTAATCAGTATTCTTTAAATGATGATAAAAATGGTTTTATTTGATTACAGCTAGAGTTTGGCCACACCGGCGGTACTGGTAGGGGAAGAGGTAGAGGGAGAGGAAGAGGCCGCGGCCGAGGAGCTCGAACCGCAGAGAAAGAAACCTTACATCAGCAGGTTGAATCTGAACCTTGCACATCTATTCAACAAAGTAGCAAAGAAGCTCCTAATACAAGTATGGCAATCGATAACGGTCCAGAACCAAAGGAGTTATCAAAGGAAAACATTTCGGCTCACGAGGAGAGCACTCAATCTTTCCGAAACATCGATTTAAATGCCAATGTACAAGAAAACGAGGACAAAGAGAATTCAAGCACGGCTACTCAGGCCTCGTTGCCGGAACCTGCTGCAATAACGGATATGCAACATGAAGAAATTCCAGGTTGGTCCCTTGCTGACGTCGACAAGATGGCGATTGATACGTTACAGCTCGCAGCGAGCCTTGGTAATAGACTAGATGAGGAGGAGGAAGATTATGATGAAGAGGAAGGGTAATCTGATATATCGATATATCGATGATCTTGTGTAGCAAATGTAGTTTTTTTTCTTCTTGTTATTAGTAAATGTTAGTTTCATGCACTTTTTAGGATTTAAAAGGATGTTGTTGTTGTAGGTTACATCGACTTTGGTAGTTGAGGATTAAATTTCTTGATAAAGCTTGATTACAAGAGGATTCATTGTGTTGTGTTGTTTAAGATATTGTTTGCCAAAATGGTTTTCTGCTTCTGAGTTTTGTCCCTCACTTTGAAAGTAAAAGAAAGTTATGGATTGATTAGAAAATGAAAACTTAGAGATGTGAATGAATCTCACTTCTAGTCCAAATTCCACTTCAAAACCAGTATATTTTGCATCATGACAATTTTCAAATTTAATATTTCTCATGGCATTGTCATGGATAGAATACAACTACATGGAATAAAGTAGGTTAAATACAAATCTTTGACATCCTATAGCGCAGACATACATTATTTAAGATTAAAATATAGTTAATATCGTAAATTTTTTTAAAAATTATATTTTAAAAATGATTTTTATGAAAAACCATTTGAAATAACTTTAAAATTAAATGTTTTTTTTTAATTTTTAAATTTTGATATTTAAAAATAGATTCAATAAAATGATTCTACAATAACGTTCTAAGAATAACTATTCAAACAAAATTTTCATTCAAAACTTTTATAAAAAGTTTCTTTATAGTTTTTTTGCACAAGTTTATAATGCTATAAAAATCATTAAAGAAAAACCAAAACAAACATGTTCAATGTGACTAGGGGTGGAAATAGGCTGGACCGTGTTAGGTTTTGCCAAACTTAAGTCTTTAGACCTGAGTCTGACATTTTCTAAGGCCTGGTTAGTCTGTTAGCCTACATAAAAGCCTGTTATTTTCTGACATTTTCTAAGGCCTGGTTAGTCTGTTAGCCTACATAAAAGTCTGTTATTTTAAATAGACTAAGAAACTAAAAAACCAATGAGACTAAAATTTTGTTTACATTGACTTATTTTAATTTACCTATTAACATATGTTGTGAGATTATTTGTTTAAGATAACTTATGAAAATAACTTATAACATTATTCATAAGGTGTTTTCATCTTATTTTTATAAGTTCTCAAAGATAACCAATTTTTATTTATGTATTTAATTCAAAGTACAAAACATAACATAATGATAATAAAAAATTATTTATATTTATTTAAATAGGCTGACCTATTAGACTTAAAAGACTTTTTTCATGGCCTGAGATCTAACATTTTAAACTAAATAGCCTTATAAAAAAGCCTAGACCTTTTCTATTTAAAAAAAAGTTTGGTCTGACCTAAGCCTGTATAAGTTAGGCCCGTAGGCCCCTGTTATCGGCTTGACCTATTTCCATCCCTGAATGTGACACTCCGCCTTACAAATCAATTTTGTAAAAGACGAGTTAAGTCAAGGGAAGACAATTTTCACCTTACGAACCGCTAAAAAGGTTAGGGGAAACTGATTAATGTTGGGAAATTCATATAATTTGGGTTGTACGATATTATTTTCAAATAATAAATGTTAATTAGAAAGTTTAAGAAATTTCATAGTAAAACTGAGAGATGATTTGTGTGAAATATTTGTCAGTAGAGGATCTTATATAATAGTGGAAAGTTTAGGATAATCAAATGTGGTAAAGGGCCATAGACAATTCAGACAGGTGTGACCTGTTGCGTTATGGGTCGCCTACCCACATTTGTGTCCACCAAGAGATAATTGTTTTAATAAGTGTCAAGCCACATGTCTCTGAAAAAGTCGGTGTTTGCCACTTTTTTCAAGAAGAAACCACTTCTTTTGACTAAAGGGGAGAAATTGTCTACATATTCCCACGATCTGGTCAAAAATTAGGAGGAACTAATTCCTCACCTAAAAACTTGGTCCATGATAGTTAGGCATATATATACCCCTACTCTTAGGAATTGGGTGAATCAATCATTATTCTTATATTCAACATACATAGACTCTCTTACATTCTCTTACACAAGAGGGTTCACCATTTTATTGTATTTCTCACAAGTACAATTGACTCTGCCTCAGTTAAACAGGCCTAGGACACACCCTCACTTAATACTCAACCACCTTAGTCATCCCACTCACTATGGTGACACGACGAGGCACTAAAATAGCTAGTAGTACCGACATCGGTGACAGTGAGGCCTTAGTAGAGATGCAAGCTGTTACAGTGGAGTTGCATCATTCTAACCAAACACAGTAGGATAATGTCCTGACCCTCCAAGAAAAACATCATAATTACAACCCAACCAAAGATGAAGATGTTTTGGATCCCCGACCACTCTTCGAGGAAATCTAGGGCACTCCCGTATCAAAAAACTTCAAATTGATATCCCTAGTAAAGTTTGATGGAAAAATGACCCCAAGAACACATTGACGCCATAAAAAATATTTGTCATCCCTAAATTGTGCATAATCTAATATAATAGTGGAAACCTTCTTCCACAAATTGATCCATCTTCTTTATAAAATGCAAGTTTGAACTGTCCTTTTTTGGGTTAAAAAAATGATTATCAATTGTAATAAAATTAATTGGACCCTAGAAAAGGACAACCCCTAGCTAAAACAACCCAAACAACATCATAAAGAGCAACAAACAATTTAGGTATGTTTGGCTTTCTGGGTCATAGGTCTCCTAATCCACATCAGTGCCCATCAAGAGATAGCTATTTTAATAAGTGTCAGGCCACTTGTGTATGAAAGAGTTGGTGTTTTTCACTTTTCCAAGGAAGAAACTGCTTCTTCTTACTAATGGGGGAGAAATGGTATTCATATCCCCATGCTCTAGTCAAGAAGTTGGGAGGGAATCTGTTCCTCACCTAAAAATTTGGCCCACGAGTTAGGCTTATAAACTCTTACGTAAGAGGGTTCACCATCTTATTGTATTTCTCACAAGCATAATCAGCACCCGCCACCAGGCCTCATTAAAGCTGACCTAGGCAAGACCCTCACTTAATACTCAATTGTCACAATAAACCCCCCACTATAGCGATATGATGAGGCACCATAATAGCTAGCAGTACCTATTGCAATGAAAAGAGGCCTTAGTATAGGTGAGCTGTTATGGAGGAGTTGCGTCGCTCTAACCAAACACATTAGGATAACGTTGTTAGAACAATATTTGGTTCTACAAGATATCTCTAAGTTTTGATAATAACAAAGAAGTATTTGTGTGAGAACAATTTTGGTATTCTAACTTTTGTTTTTCTGAAGAATTAACAAACAGGTTTTGACTCTGATAGAGAAAGCTATGACTCTGATAGAGATCATATTCAACGATTATTCTAATCTGACCAAAGTCGCTTGTGCGCTATAAGAAGCAAGTCTGCTTCTGATTTACTCTCACTCATAAAGATTCTAAGAAGTCAATATGTTTCTGCTGCAATGCTCTCGTGGTATCTGCTTCTGATCATGACTCTGATACTTTACTTCTGAAGGCTTTCTAGCTTCTGAAGTTATTATCTTCTGAATACTAAGTGCTAAAGACTCTGAAGACAAGGTTCTGTTGAACGGAGTTCTGAAGACTCTGAAGACTTGAGTTTTTGAAGAATAAGTGCTGAAGACAAGATTCTGTTAAACGGAGTTCTGAAGACTCTGAAGACTTGAGTTTCTGAAGAATAAGTGCTGAAGACTCTGAAGACAAAGTTCTGTTGAACGACATTCTGAAGACTCTGAAGACTTACGTTACTAGTGACCATAGGTTCTGTAGACTGAGTGCTTATAGTTCTGAAGACAAGGTTTTGGTGAATAAGTTTTGAAGACTCTGAAGACTCAAGACTCTGAAGACCTAGTGATCAACTTTTCTACTCATGTTTCAATAATCTATATTTAGAAGCCTCTGATATAAAGAAGAGAAGCTCAGACGTTTACGAGGGAAAATAATACATAGTACGTTTCAACGTTTCATTCCACTACCCTAATTTGGTGGTACAAAGGACAACTTTCGTGTATGATTTTCATCCATGTGTAACGACATTATTTTAAGTCGCCAGCTACCTAAAGGATATTCCTGATCTGCCCTCCAACAAATATTTTTTTTGGCTATATAAGGACTCGATTACTTGAAGAAATTAATAAGATTTATAATAATTAATACAAAGGTTACACTTTGATTGAATCAATCTATGAAGAACTGAAGCTAAAGTATTGAAGTACCCCAATACAAAGAAATAATATTGTTCATACTGTATTAGTGTCTTTAAGAAATTTGAGCTATTAATAGTTGTCATACCCTAAATTTGCCCACCGATTATCACTCCAAAAATCAGAGAAATATGGTGTCCCCGTTCAAGTTGTTGCTATGTTGAATTGTACTGAGATCTATTTCAAGATGTCAGGCCAGGTTTATGCGGGCGGTATTGACTGAAGCTCAATGGTTGTGACCAAATTTTGATCAGGCAAGAGCTAGTTTCGTGATCAAGGCAAAAGGCCTTCAATTCTTATGCTTGCTAGGAATCCAAAGATAATTCATGTTCGATTAAGGGTTTGTCATGGTTCTCTGATATCAAGGCGCTTTCTGACTCAAGAGGTTTCATATTAAAAAATTGGTTTATTCAAGTGCCCAGGATGACTCAAGATCGATTCATGGACCAATTCAAGGATAATGCAAGTCTATTTGCAAAGTTGCTTAAAAATAAATAAATGAAGAGTGACAATAATTCGTTTCAAGAACCAAACAGTGTAAGACATTAAAAAAAAACTTGTTGGTTTTTTATGATCAAAATTCAAAGCTTCTTTCAAAAGTTTTAATTTTGGGTTATATGTTCATCAACATCTTGTTATTCTTGTTTGAAAAAATTGAAACTTTTCACACTTTCTCCATAATGGGAGACAAAGAAGTAAAAGAAGAACTCAAATCTATCATTCAATGGAAGAAACAGAAAGGTGGATGCAGAGCTTCCATGTTCATCTTTGTTTTGTCAGCATTGGATAACATGGGTTTTGTTGCAAACATGTTATTGCTTT